TCCCTCTCCAAGCGTCCGACGATCGTATACCGCTAGCTCTCTCCGCCACTCCGTGCTGCTCATGGCTCACCTACACGCAGCAGTGTATGAGTGACGCGTTATCGTGTGCGAGTCACACGGATATTCGGACGGCATTAACGCCGGTGCGTGTACATATCAGTTTATGCAATGTCGCAAAATTACATGGTATTAATAAAAATTTTTTTGTTAATAACTTTTTAATAAACAACAAGCGACAGTTAGAACCTTTTAAAGGTTACTCAGGAAAATGACCTCTATAACATATGTCAAGATCAAGGTCATTGGAGGCTCTGTTAAAATGCAGTATTACCGTAAATTTAAATTTTACTTAAATGTAACTTATTAAAAAACAAGCGCGGCATTTTGTTCATACGAAAGCACTAACGTTCTTCAGCCGAATAAGTGCAATGAAAGATTAACCGAAATTAAGCCAAATTTATGCCAATCTTGTTCTTTCTTGACAAACTGTATAAACCATGATCAACAATTAACCGAGCAGCAAATTCTAAAACTGGAATTCTTATTTCAGGTGAAGTTTAATTTAATGCCAATCGTACATATCATGGTTCAATGGGATTATGCGTACCGAGCAGCTCGTAAAGGCCCGTGGGAAGAAATGGCACGAGATAGGGAAAGATTCAAAAGACGTATAAATTGCATTGCGACTGTCCTTGATCCGATTTTAACTAGTCAACACCGTGCTTATATTTTGCAGGAACGATTCGCTCTTCAGAAGTAACAACACTATCTCTTTAAAACTATAAGGTAATTTATAATAAAAAAAATATAAATTAAATTTTTCTTAACTTAATAATTGATTTGGACAAATATGTTTTAATTCAGCCAATTGACTATTGATTTGACAAGGGGAGGACCAGGTGACTCATCCTGGGATTTCGACCCCAATTTTTTTAATTATTCTGGAGATGAAAAAAAAAAAGATACGTGTCCTGGCGTTTGATAGAATAGATTAGATAGAATAGAGGTCTTAGTTTCGGAGTAATAAATTTGTGAAAATTGGCCATATCCGAAGCGCACCGCGGCGCGCCATATGAGTCTTCCCGATAACTGTACCTTTAACCAGTGCAGTTGGCTTCGTGAGTTAGGTGCTTGCTTCATAATTCGTAAGATCCAAGTTCGCTCCCGAAGGTGTTCATTAATTTTTTTTCTTTTAATGAGTGTTTTTATTTATTTTTATTTATTCTGATGATATTGATATAGTATGCAAATTTTTGAAATAGAAAATTGAATTTAATTAACACATTCTAAACATTAATTTAAATTTAATTTTAAGGGAATTTTAATTCAAGTAATAATATTTGAAATAATAAATAAGTAATAATAATAATATATAAGTTATTTATAATGGATAACATATAAAGGCAACGTATCTAAATTTTCAAATTGTTTAAATTTAAAATTTAATTGGAAATAATATTAACAGTATTTTAAATTTCTAGTTTTTAAAATAATCGTAGAAGAAGAAGAATAAACAAACATCTGAAATGTGAATGTGAATATTTTTATTACAAAATTCAATTATTTAAGTATCGCGGATTTATTACAAAATTAAATTATTTCGATGCGGAACAATTACTTGGATGATAAACATCATAAAAACATTTAAAGCATATAAATTTTCTACAGTTTGCACAATGAATAAATGAAGGAGTATCACATACACATTTATTTTTCCATAAGTCCGGAGGAAAACATATTTCGTTGACGTTTCGAAACACATTTCTTTCAGGAATTAATTTTGATGCAAACCAAGCATACTTGATCATATCTGTAAAAGCTCCCGATGATAATTGTGAATGAATTAAAGAATGAATCTTTATTGCGTCTTCTCGCGAAGAGAGCTGCCGGTTTTGTTGTAAAACTTCAACAGAATTTTGGATTCTTCGGATGAAGTTTTTCACTTGTCGAAAAAAGTACACATCGCATGGTTGGCAGTACGGCGTGCAATAACCTTCTGCGCAACTCGATGCTCGACGCTTGCATGTAACTGCACCTTAACAGTCGTCACTACGTAACGGGGATGACAAAACATGAAAGAATTTCGGCTTTATAACCGACTACATACCTGCAAGGGGATTAAAAACCTTTCGTTCATTTATCATTTTGTATCCGCTTCTTTTACCGGTTTTAAATTTAAACAATTTGAAAATTTAGATACGTTGCCTTTATATGTTATCGATTACAAATAACTTATATATTATTATTATTACTTATTTATTATTTCAAATATTATTACTTGAATTAAAATTCCCTTAAAATTAAATTTAAATTAATGTTTAGAATGTGATATTAAATTAAATTTTCTATTTCAAAAATTGGCATACTATATCAATATCATAAAAATAAATAAAAATAAGTAAAAACACTCATTAAAAAAAAAAATTAATGCACACCTCCGGGAGCGAACTTGGATCTTATGAATTATGAAGCAAGCACTTAACTCACGAAGCCAACTGCACTGGTTGGAAGTACAGTTACCGGGAAGGTTCATATGGCGCGCCGCGGTGCGCTTCGGATATGGCCAATTTTCACAAATTTATTACTCCGAAACTAAG